GTTTCATCAAACAAGTTAAATAAAGAGCAACCAAACGCACAAGGGCAGATTTCCAAGTGAAAAATATGGAAGATTGCTCTGGTAATAGTGCTCAGGAGTAAAGGTGGCAAAATAACAAATTAGCTATGTTTTTTCTAGATATCCAAAGCCAATGCACTACCTTTACAAGGCATTTTTCTAGCACATTTTGCAAGACAATAAGGAGTTGAAAAGTTACCTTAAGTATAGTATTGGCTCAGCCTCTCAGTGGGGGAAAGAAGACCTTTCTCACTATAATCATCGAACAAGCAACTAAATGACAGAGGCACTCAAAAGTCTTCCTGCACAAAGCCTTCCTGCACAGGCATGCAGGTGACCACTCCCAACAAGGCTGATTGCCCAACTACGTTCCAGACTAATGGGAAAGGGAAACATAAGGAGAAAGAGGAAGAGGCTGGTTATCTGCAGAGTTAAAGGACATTAATTTCATTAATAAAAGTCACATCAAAATTCCTGTTAAGAAATGATTCATGAAATCGAAATTCCATCATGGGCTTGAATGGCATCCTTGAATGTGTAGCAGTATTGGTGTCTGTCCTGTTGGCAGTGTTGCCGGAAAAGCCTGTTGACTGATAACAGTGTCTGAAGTGAACACTTATATCTCTACTTTCTGACAATAACTTAGGCTTCCGGAAGAAAAAAAAATAAATAAACAACAACCACAAAAATAAACCAGAAAAATTCCACGGTGAGTGCATTTGGTTATGTGACGCCACCCAGCTTGGATTTTCTTCATGTAGGAGACAAATGATGTATTTAATATCCATGAATGGAGAATGTTCAGAATTCTTGAAATATCTTTCAAGAGTCACCAAGTGAGCTGAAGAACAGGCCTGAAAGTCACAGGCATAGAAAAAGAGGATGGCCTGTCTCCTGCCAAGCCATCGGATGGAGAATCTACCAGCTTGGTCTAAATGCCCTATCCCAAACAAGTATGGGCTGTTTTCTTGGAAACACTCAGATGACGCTTCCATGGTAACATCTGAGTACGTCTCATAGGCAGCCATTTATGTTACCCTGACTACAGGCTCCATCAAAAGTACTCTCAAAGATAAACTTTATTTACTCTAAATTCTCCGAAGTCCTCCAACAATGTAGATGGTGTGAATTTCCTAGGCGTTTCCTTCCAAATTAGCCAATGCTACTTGAATTCACCTGGTCTAATCGTTCCCCAAGTGAACAAAAACCTGATTTTACAGGCCAGTGAAGCACAGTCTCTCTTTGGCTAGAAGAATGAGTCTCAGATAGTGTGTTTTATTTCTTCATTAGTGTGCCGTCACAGTGAGCGATCACTAAATGCAGGGCTGCATAAGAATGCTGGGGTTAAAGACAGCATAATGAACAAAGAAGCTGCCTGATTATCATGGCTGTCAGCACAGGGGAATTGGGTTTGTCACCTGGTTTAACGAACTGGTAAGAACTGATTAGAGGCTGGAATCAGTTTGAAAGGATCCCTGATGTTTATGTTCCTTTCCATCCCCCATCTTGTCAAGAGAATCTGATAAAGCAGGGGGCAGGGTGCGAGTGGGGAGGTGGGGAGGGTATGCTGTGGGTTACCTGAACAAGAGGTCCTTTGAAAACTCCATTCTCTTCTCTATTGCAATGTCCACTACAGTGACGTCCAATAGAACTTTCTGCGATGATGTAAACATGCCATGGCTGTGCTGTCCAGTATAATCACCCCTAGCCACATGTGGCTATTGAGACCTTGAAATATGGCAAGCTTAAATAAGAACCTGAATTTAAATTTAATGTAAAATGCTCTAAGTTTAAATAGCCACATGTGCCAAGTGGCTACTGTATTGGATGGTGCAGGTCCACTACATTCAACAGGAAGGGAGGAGAGGGAGAGCCATAGGCTAAAAATTAGAGTCCAATTCTGCTGCCTGACTTGCTACTACATCTACTAGCAAAGTACGCTCATTTCCCTGATTATCTTTATCTCAAGGGGGTCTTAAGAGACTTATGTAGCTAATTTGTAAGTTAAAAAAAAAACCCAAAACTTAAAAATTCAGTTTTGTATAGCAGTGGTCTCAATCTTGACTGTACAATGGTACAATGAAATTAACAGGGCAACTTTTGAAATACTGATGCCTAAGTCCTACCCCCAGAGATCCCGGGGTGCAGGGAAGCATCCGGTAATTTAATTATGCAGTCAAGGGTGAAAATCACTGAGAGAGGCAATGAGATACATTGTCAACCTGCTGTGGAGGTAGTTTGGGGAAGGAAGTGACCATCTGGGGATAAAAAAGTAAGAGAACAAATATTTATTAGATCCCTAACACGTGCCAGACCTTTGCAAATGATTTTCTCATTTAATTCTGAAAACAACCCCAGAAGTAACTAGTGAAAATTCCATTTTATAGATGGGGAGATTGGGGCTTGGAGAGGTTAAACACCCTCTCAATGTCCCCAACTTGGTTAGAGGTTAGACGAACGCTTTCTGACTGGCAAGTTTGTGTGGTGTTGCCATCAACACTTTGCTTCCTCTTAACTGAAACACTGTGTGTCAATCAGGGGGATGCAATAACCATCAGAGTAATGCTCTTGAAGTAGTAACCCTGAGGTAGACCTTAAAGCAGTGAAGTGTAGGAGAAGAAGTTCCAAGAGCAGGAGAAAAAGGATCACCTATTGCATTGGTATTTTTATGATCTTTTATCAATGACACAAAAAGCCACCAGTCTTCTTCCCTTAACCATGTTGAAAATAATCTCAAAAATGCAAAAATTACTTGAAATTTTATACTTTTTGGTCCATTCATATGCTAAAATCAATAATTTTTTCCCCCTTTGCATCCTCAAGATAAAGCTAACAATCTTTTTTTTCACCAAAATAAAATTCCAAGGGTTCAACTACCACATCCTTACTACACATATGGCGAGTGTTCCAGTAACACAGGCACATGACCATTTTTGGAGGATCTCTAAACTCCCAAGTAGCAAGATTCAGTAATGAAGTGATTGGCACATGGTCCCCTAGAATGCTAGACAACAGGTCAGAATCACAAGACTGAAAAATACCTGAGAGAAAGAGCCAGGCCCTATTGCCATCAAAGATAAATTTCATGACATTTATAATACAGTCAAATCCCGACCTAAACAACGTTTTCTCTGCATGGAAAGTAGGTGGTGAACTGCATGGTACAAATAGAGGGCAATAATCAAAATGTCAGCCCTAAATACTTCCCCTTGAGTTTGCTATTGTGCCCTAAATTCCCACAACTAGAGAGTTGTTGGTAGTGGGTATGGATAGAGATGGGGAGTTTATTATTAAACCAATCACAGAAAATGGAACATAGTATAAAATTATTTACACTGGGAAGGCAAAGGGTTGGGAACTGAGCAGATCAAACCAAAGTGGCCATCCCAAGAAAGTACTTAGTCTACGGGAGGAACAGAAAAAGAAGAAAGCAAAGAAATCCTTGCTTATTTATGTCTACACCTAAGGCTGAACCCAGATTCTCCTTAATTCTGGATATTTACACTTGACCTGACAGAGTGGGCAAGAGAACCTCTCAGTAATAAAAACTGAGAATTTTCAGATGACACAGCTTTGTCCAGGTGGGGTGTGGTCTTGGGCATGTTCCTTAACACCTCTGAGCTTGCAGTTACTTTGTCTATAAAATGAGAATAATACCTACCTTACCAATTTGTTATAATATGAACCATGTGACACTATTTATTGACAGTGTCTGATATATTACTTGGGTACAATTATAAAATTGTCATTATTATTATCGTCTCTTGCTATACAAGAAACTCAGGAGGTTATGGCAATTCCAGTACAGATTCGGAGTAGACCTGGAATCTGTCTGCCCACTCTTTTTAAAGGTGACACTGGATTACACTAGGCAATGGCCTCACAGCAGCTCCAATTCCTCAAAAACCAGAAAAAAACTTTTATTTGCAGTGATATTAGCTACAGGCCAGCCAAGATGAAGTTTGTTTGTAGTAGTTAGGAAACAAAATAATAATAGTCATAATAACAGTAAAAGCTAAAATACATCAAGTAGCTTCATCTTATGCATTTTACATAACATACAACAACTTGAGGCTGTTGACTAACCAACAGCCATAAGGGAGGTACTGTTATTAACTCCACTCTGCAAGTGAGAAAACTGAGACTTACATGGCTAAATAGTCACCCAACTACTCAACAGAGGGCTGGGACACAAACACAAAACCTGTGGACAGTCTGTCTGTGCACTGAACCACTAGGCTGTCCTACCAAACACAGACTTACCTACCGGGAACCTGTGGGTGGAAGGAGTGGGCCCACAGCTCCCTGTTCCGGTCAAAATTATGGCCACTGCAGGGTCTGTGAAGCCCAGAGTACACAGGAAAGGAATGGCAACACCTGGGAACACTGTCCATCTAAAGAGTGAGAAGAGATTTCTAGACTCCCCCCAAACTCCCCACCCACTTCACATCAAGCTTGCCCAGCTCATCCATTCATTAACCCAGCATTTATTAAGTGCCTATCATGAAACAAGCATTTATTAGGATCCAGGCCTAAGGGTTATGAATACAAAACTATGAGGAAAGATGGAAGAGGTGTAACGACAATGCCAGCAATGATCTCAGTGCACACCACGCTGCCCCTGAAACCACATTCCTGAACCCTGCTGTCTACTATTTCTCCTGCAGTTGTCAGGCTTCCCTCACGCAACGGTAAATCCATTTACTAATTCCAATCTCAGCTCTCAGTCAGACAACCTCTGAACACTCAACCTCTTCTCCACCAAGTAGTCTGTTGGCAGCTGTGCATTTTGAAGGCAACCAGAACCAACGAAAAAGATCCTCTCTTTTTATAAGTATTTCCCCTACTAGGACTGAGAAAAATGCATGTTTATCTAATTTGCCCCCTGCATGATCATCCCGGAAGAAGACCTGGCGGTGCCCTGCTAGGTGGTAATGAAAGCTGTTGGCATCGCAGAAACGGAAGACGAGCATACAACTTACGGGTGCAGGGCATAGAGGCAGCATCATTGTCAGCTCTGAAAAAGCCTCGGTCACAGGTGCACGAGGTGGCTCCTTCCCAGACAGAGTAGCTGTGGGGCGGGCACTTGGCACAGGTGGCATCCGTGGAGAGAGCCTTGTAATATCCAATTTTGCAAGCTGCAGGGAAGGAGAAAAGACAAACAAATATAAACCACCCAGAGAATCCAGCAGAGCAAAATCCAAAGCCACCTCCTTGACTCAGAAGAAGGGAGACATTTTTTGTAATCCTTAGTGATCACGCGGCTTGAGATGCAAGTAAAGTAACCCAAAACATTCATTGATTACAGTCACGCTTTAAGGGTCATTAACATTCCTGGTCAGGTGGCATGGAGCCCTATAGAAGAAATCTTCTTAAAATTTGTGTTAGCAAATAAAATAACAGCTAAAGTTTACTGAAGGCCTTTCTATGTGTCAGTCCCCTTTATAGCCTGATGCTGTTTAGTCCCTACAGCATTCCTTTTCATAGACACTATCTTTACCTTAGAAGTGAGGAATTTCAGCTCTGAGAAGTTAATTACCAGCACAAGACCATGCATCTGGTAACAGTCAGCAACTAGTGTAGACCCCAAGTGTTGTGCCCTCAAAACCTGTACACTTAGCCTCACGCTATGGAATTTGAGAGTGTAGTCTTCAATCAACCAGTTGGAAGTGTAACCAAGTGCTAACAAAAAAATCGGTTGGTGATTATTTCCTAATTACAGCTACAGAAAGAACCAAATCAAAAAACCAACAAAAGCGACCAAGTATGAAAGCCAAGAGTTTGTAAGGCACAGGTCACAGTTTCAGAGCAAAATCATAAAAGCTACCAACTGTAGATTCTGAAATACAATACGCTAAAATAAAATTTTTGAGCAGCAAATGCTTTGTATTTATTCTCAAGTTAATGAAACACTCCTGGTTTTCCCTGTCTCCATTTTTTCAGCACCCCTCCCCTGCAGTGCACACACCTCCCAAGAGGCCACAGGGAACATGGGCCATATAGTTCTTTGTGCACCTGACATGCTTTCCATGACTTCATCTTCATAAACATCACACGGACACTGAGGACTACTTTTACTAATGTGGAAAAACTCACTAATTCAGCGAAAACTCATAATAAAAAATAATGACTAGGGCCTTGCTTCCCCCATTTTTTCTTTCCCTATGCCTTTCATGGTCAGCTCCCAAATCTGTCTCAACTTGAAATAAAAATTGACCAACACCATCAGTATTAAACCCACAGAGACAAGGCCATTAAAAAGAAAGTTACTCCATGGCACCAGAGGTTAAAAGAAAATGTGACAGTTGCCCACAATCTTTGCAGCATGATTCACTCTCAATTCTATTTATCACGTCCTCAGGAGGTGTGCATACTATTAGAAACACCAGCTGCGGAAAGGACCCATCAGGCATTTTTCACGGGTCTGGCCAGCAAAACAAACCAACTGTGCTAGCAAGCCAGCAGGTCTTACTGAACTGAGTAGATAAAAAGAGATCCACACAACTGTTTGATTCTCTGCGGAGATCTGGCCATAGTCCCTGTGCTGCTTCTCCTCCATCAAGCATCTGTATGGCTTCCCGTTGGAGTCTGTTCCTCCCACTTGCATATCCTGTTGGCATTTTCTTAATCATGCGCTTGTAATGGCAAGAGGAAAGGGAGTTTAGCAGGAGCTCAGAAAGGCACACAGTTACTTCACTCCTATTAACTAAAGTTGTTTATGGAATTTCCTTTAACGAGCCAAAAGTTTATGACGTGTGGAGCACCGACAATAAAAGTGCTCGGAGATCAATCTCTCCCTTATTTTTGCTTTCGTCTCTCACTGGACCGGAGCATCTTAGAAAAACAAGTTGCTCTGATGACTGAGATTTATGTGTCTCAAGTTTATACACATTGCATAATTAGATAAGGTTCAACTTGCAAGGTGCTCTTTGGTCATGCTTAAGATGGCCCCAGGGTTTCGATTAAAATCAGAAACCCCTGCTTAGGCAGGAAGAAGCCCTGGGGTCCACTGGCCTTCCCACATCAAACACAATGAGTCTCTGAACACAAACACAAACCCACTGGGTCCCACCAGGCACTCAGTCAGTCCTAGCTGACAAAAGCAACTTGTGGCATCTCATGTTAGAACTGCCAAGAAGGCGCAAATTGCTTTCATTTCTTCACATCTGAATGTTTGGGGAAAACGCTGCATGTTACTGACTGATTCTTGGGCACCTCCATTTCATCAAGCATCAAAATCTAAAAACTCACAGTGAGAGTGGGAGATCGGCGATGAAAAACATTGGCCAATGACTGATCATTGCAATGTCAAAACATCACGTTTGAAAAGCTTGTAAGAAAAAAGAGGCATCGCTGTTTCCTCAACTTCTGTTCTTATATAACTATTTCCAGTTAAAAAATCAAACTCATAGCTCACAAAAATAAAATTGGAGAATGTTTCTCCTAATTTCTTTAAATTTCTTAAAGTGCAAAAATTTGGGATATATATTATGCGAATTTAAGGAAAAATACACTTGCAAGCTTATATTATTTTTCTATTTTTCCTCAAAGCTAGTATTAATATACTACCAATAATAAATATTTGTGAGTTCATTTAGGAACACAGACTTTTACACAAATTTGGAAAATTGAAGACTGCTGTTCTTTAAATGCGCTATTTTTACTCTCTTCCTCTTGCTTTTACAAGCAGGAGCAGAAAATACAAAATTGTCATTGTGCTATTCTCGGCAGCCCTTGCTACCCTTAACACATTCTTTTGTCTTCAACCACATTAAAACCATGTTATTAATATTTCAGGATTCTTAGAAAGGCTCTCTCAAAATATAGTAGTGGCTTTTCATGCACACAACCATTTTGCTGCCTACAGTCAAAATGACCTACTAAATTGATGGTTCAGTACATTTCTTTGCTCTGTGTGGTGCACAGCCTTCTGGCATTTGGTGCATAAATGTGTAAGTACATTCTGCATTTATTCACCACTTACTTGCATCTTAAAATTTTCACTACCTCTTTCATTCTAAACAAAACCCCTGTGAAAGATGTACTTGGCATTATAAGCACTGACACGTGTTATTATTTCCCATCATTCTCTTTTAAGCGAGAACTGTTACACTGTATTTCTGAATACTAATGACTTGATAAGCCAGTCTAGAGAACAGTCCAAAGTGCAAGCTCCAGAAACATCTTTCTCCTGCCCTCTTTCCAGTGAGGCTTCCCTAGATGAGGGACCAGATGAATGGGCTCCTTACTTGGCCTCCTGAACATGCCATTGTGAGAAAATTAGTTCACATGTGCAATGCAAACTTCGCCTTCAATTCCTTTAGCTTTGCCTTAATTAGTTCTTTCTGCTGACTTTAAATAAAAGAAGAAGGTGGAGGACATGGAGGAGGAAGAAAAACTCCTTTCTTTCATTGGCTCACCCACTACCATAACAAGGTTGCATTTTGAGATAGTCTTCAGTAGAGTTTCTTTGTAGAATACTTAGACATAGTTACTTTCAGTTAAAGACAAAAATGTTTTTAAAAATAACATAGCATCTTTTGGATTTCTTGGTGTATGGATGTGTGTACATGAAAACGTAGTGTCCAATTTAACGAGCTGATTATACTTACTCTTTAAAAAATATCCTATGTAGATGGTTATGGTCATTTTTTAAAGAAATATAGAAAGATTGATAGCACTTGATTGTCTTTGTAGTTCATTTTTTAACTAATTTAGTCTGTGAAAATAGCTAATAAGAGCAATTGTGATGACAAATATCAGGCATCCATTGGGTATTTGCTGTATTTACATGCATTATTTCATTCAATAGTCACAATAATTCTGTGAACTTGAGGTACTATCATTATTCCCATTTTGCAGATGAGGAAACTGAGGGTTTAAAGTCACTTGCCCAAGGTCACACATTTCAGTGGTGAAGTTAACAGCATCTAACTCCAGTGATTATGTTCTTCTAAAAGCTTTTATATACATACTTTTGAGTTGCACAGGGTCAGGACTGACCTTCAGCAAAAATGTGACTTGAATCTAATGGAGGGGTTGGGATGTGGGGGTGGTCCCAAGTTCCATTTGCCTTCCCTTGCAGCCTGTCCCCTTGCTGCCTCCATCAGCCACACTTCGCTATCTGTGATCCACTTTCCAGTTCAAGGCCCTCCAGAGCTGCACTGTCCATTAAAGTATCTACTCACTACCTGTGGCTACTGTGCCCTGCAAATGTGTCTCGTCAAGGGTAAAACACATGCCGGACTTCCAAGACTTCCAAGACCCAAACAAGTAAAACATCTCATTAATAATTTTTATATCGATTACATATTGAAAGCAATGATATTTTGAATAAAGTTAAAGAAATTATATCACTAAATTTAATTTTAACTTTTTAAAAAATTATTTTTCAGTGTGGCTACTATTAGGTTATTAAGTATGAAATATCCAGATTCTTTAAGTACTAAGTTAGACAGTTGATACCTCTGACATTTAACTTGCACATTTCTTGTTTTATTTTTATTGTGAAGGTACATCCTAAGTTCTTTCAAACTCACTTTTTGACTTGTGATTACCTTTCAAATTTTTTTTAGAGCAATTTTTCTGAAGCCATGGACAAGTCAAAAATTCATGTTATTTTCGAATATGAGTTCCTTGGTGCAACCAATGCAGTGCAGACAGCTCGAAATATCAAGGAAGTGTTTGGGAAGGTTGTGGCTAATGAAGGCACAGTATATCGATGGTTTGAGAAGTTCTGTTCTGGTGATTTTAACCTTGAAAATGAGCCACATAGGCAACCTGAGATCAAGGTGGATAATGAGCCACATGGGTGACTTGAGACCAAGGTGGATAATGATGAGCTGAAAGCTGTAGTGGAAGCCAATTCATCTCAACCTATACAAGAATTAGCAGCAATGTTTGACATCAGTATTCTAACAACATTGGACCATTTGAAACAAACCAGCAAGGTAAAGCTGGATAGCTGAGTACCACATGAATTAAATGAGCATCATAAGAGAAATCATCTCAAAGCTTGCCTTTCTTTGCTGTCACAACATAAAAGCAATGTGATGAAAAATGGATTCTTTTTGACAACTGCAAGCATTCAGCACAATGGTTGGATAAAGAAGAAGTGCCAAAACACAATCCAAAAACT